GGTGGTGGTGGTGGTGGTGGTGGTGGAGGTTGTGGTGGTGGTGGAGGTGGTGGTGGTGGAGGTGGTGGAGGTGGTGGTGGTGGTGGTGTTGGTAGTGGTGGTGGTGGTGGTGATGAGAAGAGTAATCTGCCAACAATACTTGGTGTGACGATAACTCCGGCCTTCCTTCTCTCGGTAGCTGCTGCAGTTTATCTCCAATGCTGCAAAAAAGAGTCCGGTTGCTGCGGCGCCATTGTTGCATGCGTGGGGGCTTGCGCTGGCGGCGTGCAGCCACATTGACAACAATGTACTGCTTTATAAATATGTAAATCTTTTTCTTCTTTATATATCTATCTCCACATTGAACAACTGTAACATCTTCATATATGTACTTGCCTTGGTTTCCAATTAATTTTATAATTAAGGTGTTCAATCTCCGTCACATTTACAGTCGGCACTACGAAAATTCTATTAATTTTGTGAATTATTAAATTATCGAGTTAATTAAGTCGGGGCCGAAAAAAAGTATTACTTAATCGATCGAGATTATTAATTTATAGGAGTATTAAATTTATGGAGATTCTACTGTATTCATTCGATGATTTTCATTGCTTAGGTGGTTAACTTAGCATACAATCAAAATCTTTCAAATTGCATACATTTTCTTGAATTCATTATCCAAAACCTCGGAATCCGACAGCAGCGAAACCACCGAACAAGATCTGGATCCACTTCCACGAGAGTTTTTCCGAAGAATATTCCTTTTGCTCCTCGACAAATCAATCCGGTGAACAATCACCCAATAACACATCGTACCCAAAGTCGCCGCCATTATCGCAGTCCCGATCACCGTCACCCCGATCGCCAGCCACCGCTCCTCCTCCCCCACCACTACAAACGAAAGCCCCAGATACGCCACCGAGACGAACACGCACGCCGCCCACATCAGCTTGTTTATCACCGCCATCATCTTCTTCTTCGCCCTGCTCTCTATCACCACCACCGACGTCTGCACCACCACCACCGCCAGCGATATGAACAGCGCGAACGAATCGAAGATGAAAAATATCAGAAACGGGATTTTCGGGGAGATGTTCGCCTCCCCCAATGAAAGCCCCGCCGGAATATTCCCCGGGTCGTCGGCGTACTGGCCCGGTACAGTGAAGATCGCGGCGAACGCCACGGTGGCGATCAGGACAGCCACCACGGTGGTGGAGTTGATTGCGTTGTTGAGCCCTTCCGTGTGCATTTTGTTGATCCGTTTCGCGATTCCCTGGACGCGCTTTCTCGTCTGGCGCGTGTGCTCCAACTGATGGTGCACCTCGTGTTTGATATCGCTCACCGTTTGTTTCAGCTCCCTCGCCGTTGGGTTCGCCGTCGACTGAGGCTTCATAATCGCCCTAACGCTCAAAACGCCGTTTTCTTTCAAAATCGCCGTTATATTCGAATGCCCCATTTTCTCCGACGTGTCAAACGCCGTTTCATTTGCTCTGTTCACCGCTCTCGTGTCTGTTATTTCCTTTTCTTCCAGCAGCATCTTCACAATCTGCAAAATTACAAAAAGAAAGGAAAAAAAAACTATTAAAGGCTAATTAATTTAATTATAGTCAAACCTCTATAAATTACGACTAGCAGAATTCTATTAATTCAGCGAAATAATAAATTATCAAACTAATAATTTAATAGGTTTTTAGCGAGTGGGGACCAGATCAAAACTATTATTTAAGTGAGTTTATTAACTTATCGAAATTCTATTGTAATTACCTGAGCCCTTCCCTTCCGAGTGGCTATATGCAGAGCAGTGTTCCCCTTCGTATCGACCATATTAATAGTCGAAGAATCAGCTCTAATCAATTCCTCTACTACCTCAAGATTCTGACCTTTAACCGCCATGTGAAGAGCAGTTTGTCCCTTCTTATCAATTCGTGTAGTAATCGCAGGCTCTTTAACCAAAAGGGCTTTCACGATTTCCACGTGTCCGTTTCTCGCAGCAGAATGCAACGCCGTTTTGCCGTTGCTTTTTGCTATAGCAACCAAATTGCTCTCCGAATCCAAGAAATAGTTCACTATATCCAAGTGCCCTTGTGTAGCTGCTGTGTGCAAAGCTGTCGTGTTCGATGCGTCGACTGTCATCGAAAGCTCCGGTTGAGCCTCTAATAACACCTTCACCACTTCTGCATTTACATGAAATTTCGCATAAAAAAACAAAAAAAATCAAAGATTTTTTTATATGTATATATAATATAAATATATTACCGAAGTCGCCTTGTTTGGCGGCGATATGGAGTGCGTCGAACCCGTTTTTAGCTTTGATTGAAGCTTCGGCTAGGTTGTAATGATTGATCATCTCTTTAACCAACTCAAAGTAGCCGTATTCTGCGGCTACGTATAATGCTGTTTCGCCCGATGAATTTTGTTTGGATAATAATTCCCTTAATGCATCTTCTTCTTCTTGATTTGCTGCACCATTGATTATATCCCTTATAGCTACAACGTTACCTCCTCTAGCTGCGGACTGTAACC